ATCAATTTCATCTGAATCAGATGTGGATTATTTCACTACCTGGAGAATTCTTCAGTTTACAATTTAATAAAGTTGAACAATAATTTAGTCTTTTCTTCTTCCTTTCTTTTGTAATCTTAGTTTGTATGCTTTCTCTTCCACCGTGTTTGAAATCATTATTAGGATAAAATAACATTGTTATCTTATAAAAACAACAAGAAGGACACTACAAAGTTTGAGTTTATACAACAATTATCTTTAATTTAGCTAAATTCCCTGTTCAACCTGTCACGCTTGACCGCAGCTAGGCACTGTCAAAGCAGGAGTGCGATGTCTAGATCTGTTATTACTGATCTGCACTAGATAATTGGCACTGTTAATTAGGGACTGTCTTGCATAATATGGCCTTTTGTTCCCCAAAGGCAGTGGCGAATGGCAATATGCAGAAGTGGCAATACAACGGGTGTATTAACACAGAGGGAAATCTGTTTTTGGAGAATTCCTGACAATTAGCGGGATGGCTAAATAAAGGAGGGCAATATATCGAGGTGGAATTGTTAATGATATAAAGACCTTCAGTATTTTGTCAAAATACATATAACTTAAAGATCATTTTCCAACAGCATGCAAAAAATAAATGTAGGTTCTGGTTAAATAGTATTTGAAATATTTAAGAAGTACACGTTAATTTCTCTGGGACAACCTCGTATTATTGTAATCTCAATTTTTCAGTAACTATCTGTCATTATTTTTAAAGACATATAAATTATTTGCATCAGTTCTAACTACAATCTGTCCCAAAATTAAAAAAAAAATCGAAAAATCTTTATATTGTTTGCCAGGGATCTATAATACAGAAAAAAGTTTATTTACATGTACATGCACATGCACATTTAATTGGTCTTTTCATCAGCTCATATTGTGTAAACAAATGACAACTTTCTATGTTCATCTACATTGCTTTTTATGCGCCCGGATCGATAGATCCCGGGCGTATATTGTTTTTGTCCTGTCTGTTTGTCTGTCTGTCTGTTGTCAACTTTAACCTTCGCCATAACTTTTGAACCACAAGAGATAGGGACTTCATATTTGGTATGCATACTCCACTTATAAAGTCCTTTCAAATGACATCAAGGTCAATGACGTTTTGACCTTGACTATGACCTATATGCTAAAAACAGCTTTTTCCACTGTTTGTCATAACTTTTGAACCATAGGAGATATGGACGTCATATTTGGTATACCTACTCCACTAATAAAGTCCTTTCAATTGACGACAAGATCAATGATCTTGTGACCTTGACTGTAAACTATATGCTAAAAATAGTTTTTTTTACACTTTTTGTCATAATTTTTGACTCATAGGAGATAGGGAATTCATATTTGATATGCATACTCCACCGATTAAGTTCTTTCAAACGACACCAAGGTCAATGACCTTGCGATCTTGACTGTAACCAATATGCTAAAAATAGATTTTTTGAACTTTGTTGCCGCCGGGCGCATAGTGTTTCACAAACATATCTTGATCAATTTATTCTTCTGCTCGTTTTTTAAAACGATAGCAATGATGAACGATTTCTTTTTTTATTTGAATTTTAAAATTACCGAAGAATAAAATATGAATAAAAGTTGTTTTCCTTTGTAAGAATTCCCAATAGAATTGTGTTATATTTCATTATCATCTTCATAGTAGGCACTTCGATCATCTGCTCTTTGTAAATAACTAGTACTTTTCTTGATGCTTTTAATTATAATTACATAATGCCAAACCTTTTTCACAATTAATTTAGTAAAAGTGCCTATAATTTATATAAAGTCTGTATTAATCAAACCAATATTTAAGTAAAATCACCATATGAATGTACATATATACAATTAACTATTTTATGAAAAAATCATATAGAAATAACTTTAAAAATTCGTACTTTGCCTGTTATCGACATAACTGCCATTATTAATATTTAAGCTTACCTTTTACATTTACAAGATCACAGATCTAGATCTTTGGCAAAACGTTTTCCCCCCAAAATCTTTCCTTTTTTTTTACATAGCAGTGTCCCTACATTGCATGATTGATTACATGTATATGAATAAAAATGGCGATTATCATTTGATAGTTGCAAATGAATTTTCTTTTAAAATTAAGGATGGTGATAGAAAAATAAAGTATTTTTTTTTTAATTCAAACCTCAGGACGTTATGCAAAAATACATGCATAATTGAAAATACACGCAAATTCAAGGATCTGTTGTCCTTTGCTTTCTGTGTCATTGAGGGTGAGTTGCATTTTTTATGGCATATTGTGTCAAATAGGAACGCCCTATCAAATGTCATTAAAATATCGCTGAAGTTGATTTTTTTATAAATAAGGTCAATCGTGAAGGTCAAGGTCAATTGGTAAGATATCATACCATCCTCGGAAATATCTTGTAAAGTAATGCACATATCAAATATGAAAGCCCTATGTTTTCTCAACATAAGGAACAAGATGTGTTTGTGAAACACTGATGACCCATATGCAGCAAAGAGAAGATACGCTTTTCTTAAATAAATAAGATCATTCGTGAAGGTCAAGGTCAATGGGTTAGAAATCATAGCATCTTCCAAAATATCTTGTCACAAATAATGCACATTTTAAATATGAAAGCCCTATCTCTTCTCAACATAAGGAACAAGATGTGTTTGTGAAACACTGATGACCCATATGGCAACAAGGAGAAGATAAAACTTTTCTTAAATGCAAATTTAACATATTATAATCCAAAGTAGGGTCTTCTCACAAAAATATAATTGTGAAATATGAAAGCCCTAACACCACCTGTTCAAAATTTATATCCAGGGATAAGTTCTTGAAATGTACATCAAACTCCAAGGTCAAAGGGTCAAGGTTGTTGGTTTATTATGTAAGGTATTCTCACAAGTATTACAATGTGAAGAATGAAAGCACTAACCCTAACCGTTCATAAGATATAACCAAGGTTAAAGTTTTTAAAGAGTAGGTCAAACTCAAAGGCTTAAGTTCTTGATATCCAATGAAAGGACCTGTCACAAGGATTAAATATGTCAAGTATGAAAACCCTAGCCCTTCCCGTTCAAAAGTTTTGGTCAAGTTTAAACTTTTTTCCATAATTACGGAAATCTCCAAGGTCAAAGCCAAAAGTTCAAAATTGTTTGAATCAAATGAAAGTTCTTGCCACAAAGAATACAGATGTGAAATATGAAAGTCCTTTAATCTACTGCTCTAAAGTTATGGGCAAGGTCATAGTTTAAAAAAGTATGTCAAACTCCAAAGTCAAGGTCAAATGTGAAATATGAAAGCCCTTATCCTTACCGTTTAAAAATTATGGCTAAAGTAAAAGTTAAGAATTTTAGTTTAAAAGTGGGTCAAACTCCAAGGTCAAGGTCAAAATGTCAATTTTGGTTGTACCCAAAGAAAGGTCTTGTAATAGGGAATACACATGTGATATAGCCATAGCTCCTCTCAATCAAAAAAATATGGGCGAGGTTATAGTTTTAGTGAGGAACGGACAGACGGACGGACGGACAGACGAATGAGATTTAATGTCCGCTAGCTTTCGCAAAAGCGGGGGATAAAAATGTAAAGAACAGTTAAACAAACATTAATCATAGAAAACAAACAAAAAATGCAAGGAAAATTGAAAACAACATCCAATTTTATTCAAATTATAATGTACACGTATATATCAATTAAATGGGTGATTGTGAAATATTGTAATAGAGTTTAAGGTAACAATTGACTCAAGGCTAATCAAAAACAAAATTTTGGCAAATAGGGATTTATGGTAGTCTAGGTTTACAAGATTATAAAAAAAAATTCATAATTCAAGTTATCTTATCCTAATTTTTTTAATTTAAATTCCAAGCAATAATTTGATAATTTTTTATTGATAAAATTTGATGAATTATTGTTTGAATGAACGGTGATGTGAAGAAAAAATACAGTTAGGTACATGAAAAGACAGAAATAATCATTGAAATCTAAAATATGGTTAAAGAAAAGCAACTCAAATATATTTTAAAGCATTGTCCTTCATTGTTGGTTCAAAAACTTTTATCAATGTAGACATTAATATAAATTAATGCACTATACTTTAATCGTTTCACTGTATCATCACACAGTCCTAATTTAACACCCATTTTTTCTCGTCTTCTTACTTAATACTATCAAAATAAAATCAGTTAACTAATTGTATCTTTCACAAACACATCAATACAATTATGTTATTGTATCTTCTGCAAACACTTACTGCTGTACGACTAATTCACATTGATTTTCAAAACATTGCAAGGAAAAAAGACACATGCTACATGTCTCATATGGTTATCTTCCATGATCAAATTTATTACAAGGGTATGTCTTTACTTGTGTTTGGCAGAACCATAGGGAATGTAAAGCATAAAATTAATAAACAAATATATTACATATATCAAATGAAGCCACATTTTAACGACAAATGCATTACACTTAGGAGATTTTAGTGAAGCATTTAATTTATCTTCCCTATGTTCAAAGACATATCTGCTCACAATGTGAATGTGTATGTGGAAGGTACTTACAACGTATATACTATAGTTATATAAAAATACCGTGAGAATATTTTTAAAAAAATTATTGATGAATTAGCCAGCATGAGACTATTTCCAAAATGAGTTTGTTTTCATATGCAGATAGTTTTATGTCAGTTACTTTAATTTTGTAAACAATAAATAATTGTGTTACCAATTTATCGTATTCTTTTCAATGATATTGTGGAAAACAACTCAAAAGTATAATTAATTTAAGCGCTTTACAATGACAGTTCAAATTCATATATTTCACATATAATGCATAATAAGAAGTAATGTGTTAGTTATAATCTCGAAAAAAAAATAGTACAAATCATAAATTAATTGAAAACATATAATTTTATGGAGACAAATCGCATTTGGATAACTTCAAATTAATTCATACATATGACTGGAGAAAAAAAGTAGACATCATTTACTAAAAAATCATTATTGTAAAATCTATCTTAGCCTAATTATTCATCAATGCATGTACATTACATTGCATTTTTTTTATACATAAATCACATATATATTCCATTAACTAAAAGATCCAAACAAAAAACTACTCAATTTTCACTTTCTTCAAATGTGTAAGTTCATTCTGTTTCATGCTAAAATGAATTAGCATGATAAATATTTTCTTCATACATGCTATGTTAGCGTCTTAGCGTCGGCTCTTTTTGTTGTAAATCCCATATAACAGCACCCACGTGTCAATCGCCTGGCAATTCCTGATTTGGTTATTTTCGTCACTTAGTATCAGCTTGTCGTTATATGTCATTGCCCAGTCTGGAAATGGCTCATTTTCATCATCATTATAGGCACGTGCATCAATGTATCCATAGAGAGTTCCATACAGGCTTAAAAGTAAATGATTTACATGTATTAAACAAACATATTTCCTACAGTCAGTAGTTTTACTGTTTTTTTTTAATATAAGGCAATTGAAATCAAACTCAGAAAATAGATTAAAAACCTCTCTTTGTCAATTAACTATATGATGATTTTCTCAGCTTTTAATATCTGAAACTTGTACTCGTGAACCCAAATTTCATCAAATTTTCGAAAACAAATGTTCTGTACCAAATTGTTAACGTTTTTAATAATGGTACCTTTGAATTTGATACTGCATGGTAAATTTCCAACCATGGTTAAGCTATTATTACTAACTACATAATATTGGAGTTTTATGAAGAGACTTACTTTTACAATCGACGACTGACTTTTACAATTTGAACAGAGACAAACTCCAATCACTAAAATGTAAAAAGTCAGCTGTCAAATGTAAAAGTAAGTCTCTTCATAAAACTCCAGTACTAAGAGGGCATTTTATGTTTTTATTTTATCCAGATTTATTTTATTTGACATTGAAACGATATTATTATCTTAATCTATTTTTTTCGTATACAGAGCACGGAAACTTCAAACTTAGAAAAAGTACAGAACTACATTGTACATACATGTAGGGTAATCATGGTAAAATTGTTTAATCTCCATTTACCCATGGCTATTGTTTTCTTTTAATGTTAATAAAGGAGCAAAAAGTGAACTGATATTACATTTACTCTAAAACACGTTGTATTTAATTGAATAAAAGAAATAACACTTGGAAAATGTTTATACTTCAATTAAATTTCAAATATGGACAATTAAGTATTAACTTATTCATGTATGAACAGAAATTACTAAAGAGGCCCATAAACAAATTGACAACACCCTTATGATAATCCAATGAAAACAATAGGTCAGATAAAAACTATGGATTGTGGGGAGGGGGGTAATATGACTTTTTTAATATTTTAACTTTAATAAGATTTAAATGCCTATTTTTTTCCCTACATTTTCTTCGTTGTCATTTTTTTCGATAAAAAGGCTAAACAAAAAATAAAGACACATTTCGTATTATTTATATTATTATCCTTTAGTCTAACCAAACAACCTAACCCTCCTTACAAATAAATATCAAAAAATATTTTCGAGATTTTTTTTAAAAATTCGAAAATATAACGATTTAAAAAATTCAAATTAACATTCCTAAAAGGATAAAAAAAGTGTCTTTCCTTAAATTTTTGTTTTACTACTTAAGATTATTTCTTATTTTTTTCTTTCTTAATCTCAATGATAAAAATACAAACCCCTTTTAATTACACTTAACTGGTTAACAATGTTTCTATTAAAGGTATAAAATTCTTAAAATATATGACAAACCTCTGTTTTGTATTGCATTTCCCTGAAAACCTACCACTCCAGGTGTAAAGCAAACTTTTCTTAAATGTTGTCATAAGGTGCATGGACACATATTTGATTGATTGATTGGTTGTATGTTGTTTAATGTCCCTCGTATGGAGACGTCACCGTATGCCGCTTAAGGGCTTCAAATTAAGACTTACATTCGGTACTTTGGGCGATTGAGCAATGAGAGTATTTGATTTTTCGTTTTATACTTTGTTTATGTGAGGGGGGGGGGGGGGGGGCTCGGGTTCAAGGATAGGAGATTGAAACAAATGCATATTTTTACCTTGTATCAACTCTACTATCTTCCTCACTTTCCTCTGGCATTGTTATATTCAGCATAATACACTCGAAAAGGATCTCAAGAAATGTTTCTATATGCTCCAGGGGAATTTCAGAGGTTCTTTCCTCAATGATTTGTTTCTGCTCATCATTTAGATCAATCATTAGGTCTTGTTGTATACCACTAAATGCTTCCTGTACATAAAATATGCATACTTATCAAAACCAAAATTAAACTCAATGAAAGATATAAAGATGGTAATCAACTGAGGGGTTTTAAGAGTCAGTGAAAATTGAACTTGCGTTCATATACGATGAACTAATATATCTTGTGTATGTTACACCGAAACTTTCTGTTTTTAAATAAAAAAACGCCCAAAGTTTCCAACAAAGTTTATTTTGTATTCCCGTGTAACACTTTACACACAGGACCCGACTGAGTAACTAATTGAACACACAAATTCTACGCTAGATATTAAGAACTGCCCAAACTACAGACTGTCAATCACTGCTAAATTAACCCGTTAATTGTGAACACTATGAATTCTGCATTTTCTCATGGCCAGCACTTCAGACATTCAATCCCCCTGAGACTCGGGTGATAAAAGTCAGCAATGCTGATACAAGAGCTAAATTTCCCAGCCAAATCTTAATGAGCGGTCAAGACCTTATCACATAAACAGATCACTGCAGTCTGTAGCTTAGAGCAATTACTACAAATCAACAAGATTAAGATAATATAAATCAAGCATTAATTATACAAACAATTTCACACAAAATTTCACTTTAACACCTCCCTTCCAAAGATAAAAATTTAACTGTCAATAGTTGAATTTTTTCCAAGTTCATAATTCTGTATATAGCAACATTAAATTTAACCAGTCACTAAATTCACTTTAGCCAGTCCAAATAAGTATTAAACAGTTAATAGCAATTAATCATCAAAATAATAATATAAATCCAAAATGAATTTCACTGTAAATCCAAACTGAATGCACTTGAATATTATGAATATAAAATTTTCACAAAAATTGCCCATAATTCACAAACACATTTCACTTTTCAGATTCTTGATAATCCGTCTGCATTTGTGTTTTTGCTTCCTCTCTTATATCTAACTTCAAAGGTGTACGATTGTAGTGCGAGGGCCCAACGCAACAGTGTCTGATTTTTATTCTTCAAGCGATGCAACCATGTTAGTGGATTGTGATCTGTTTCTACGTAAAACTTCCTACCCTCTAGATAATACGAAAACGATCCAATGGCTCAAACGATAGCTAATAATTCCTTCTCTATCGTTGAATAGTTCTTTTCCCTTGGAAGTAACTTCTTACTAAGGTAAGCAACTGGGTGATCACCATCTTGCAACTGTTGGCTCAGGAAAGCCCCAATTGCGTTATTACTCGCATCTGTTTGCAGTACAAACGGTAAATTGAAGTTCGGATTGACCAAAACAGGAGCTGTCATCAGGAACTTGCCAGTAACCTTTTGTTAGATCAAATCTACTCAAATATTTTGCACTTCCAATTTTCTCAAATATTTCACTCATGCGTGGAATGGGATAAGGGTCCATGAGAGTTATTTCATTCAATTTTCTATAATCAACACATATTCTAATTGTCCCATCAGGCTTGTTGACAAGGACAATTGGTGAGGCCCACGGACTTTTGGATGGTGTAATAAGTCCTTGTTCTAACATTTCATTCAAAGACTCCTTCACTTCCTGTTTCTTAGCTTCCGGTATCCTGTAAGGTCTCTGAGTAATTGGTTTCTCAGACGTTGTTCTGATTATATGTGAGATAACATCACACTTTCCCGGCTTTGATGTGAAAATTCTTGAAAATTTCTGACAAACATCCCTTAAACTCTGTCTCTGCACTTGTGTCAGCCCATGTCCAAAGACAAGATCTGAAATGGTTTCTGTGGTGTCGTTAGGAAATTGCTGTTCAATTCCAATTTCATTTTCTGTTGCTGCCAGTAATGTAGTTTCATGAGAGTAATGTAGTTTCCGGTAAATCAAGGTTCACTTCATCAGCCTCATCCTTAGTTACCACGACATTTAAGTCCCTTGGTTCGACATCACATTTATTCATGCGATTTTTGGCACTTAATTCATTTTGTTCTTGTTCTTTTGCTTTGGCTCTCGTAACCACAGCTGCAACTTTGTTCCTCTCCAGAACATCTATTCCCAATAAACCATCTGAACCAGATCAGGTACTAAACCTACCTGAACATGTCCCTTAAACATTGGTGTTTCCAGGTTAACCACTGCTAACTTAGCCTCGAATGGCTGTCCAATAGCTGTAACCAAGGAAGTAGTTTGTCCATGTAGAACACATTTTGGATCAACAAGATCCTCCCGCAATAGCGTCATAGATGTTCCAGTGTCCTTGACCATTGACACTTCCACATCATCCACTTTCCCCGGAACATAATGTAAACCCCATAATGCTCCTTTGACGAAACACGACGCTAGATTACCTTTCTTTGGGCATTTGTTTGCATAATGTCCAAAGTTCCCACAGCTAAAACATTTCACTTTTTCCAAACTTTTCTGTTTTCCGGAGTTCCCCTGTTCCTGGCTCTTCTTCTCACCTAACACTTTAGGATTTAGAAGTTTTCTGTCCTCGGCCGATTTTGTTGGTAGAATGTAATCCTCAGCAGCTTCAACTAATTCACTACTTCCCTTATTCCGTCTAATCCACTGGGCTTGTTGAGGAGATAACGCCTTTAAGAGATACTCTTCTCGGAACTTTTGTGCGGGATCTTTCTCATCAATGAAACGACTCAAATACAGATCTATTCTCGACATTAATCCTCTGTAAGTTTCTCCTGGTCTACGTTTAATTTCCTCCAGGAACTGAAAGTAGTCTGCTGGGCGCTTGCCGAATCGATTCAAAAGAGCCTTATACAGATCTCTGTATCCCGAAGTCACTTGCTGCGACACTTCTCGAGCTTCTCCGGTTAAAAGTGACCTAAGCTGTAAAGCCTTTGAGTTCTCAGTCCAACCTGCATGCTCAGCTACCGCATCAAATTCAGAGAGATAGCACAAAATGTCATCCTTTTCCTGATTAAATGGTTGAAGTTTAATTTTTGGCATTCCTGTCGAATGTGCACCTGGTGTTGAATTGGCCTTCTCTAGCTGAACACGTAATTCCAAAATTTCTTTTTCATGTTCCAATTCAAGTGTTTTTAAACGTAATTCATGTTCCTGTTTTTGTTTAGAAAGTTGTAATTCTAATTCCAAGTCCTGTTTCCTAGGCATTTTAATTCCGCTTGTTAAATCCAAATATATGTATAAAATTTCAAACAATATTTCACATTTAATTAGGATCCCACCGCTGCCACCACTTAAAATGTTACACCGAAACTTTCTGTTTTTAAATAAAAAAACGCCCAAAGTTTCCAACAAAGTTTATTTTGTATTCCCGTGTAACACTTTACACACAGGACCCGACTGAGTAACTAATTGAACACACAAATTCTACGCTAGATATTAAGAACTGCCCAAACTACAGACTGTCAATCACTGCTAAATTAACCCGTTAATTGTGAACACTATGAATTCTGCATTTTCTCATGGCCAGCACTTCAGACATTCAATCCCCCTGAGACTCGGGTGATAAAAGTCAGCAATGCTGATACAAGAGCTAAATTTCCCAGCCAAATCTTAATGAGCGGTCAAGACCTTATCACATAAACAGATCACTGCAGTCTGTAGCTTAGAGCAATTACTACAAATCAACAAGATTAAGATAATATAAATCAAGCATTAATTATACAAACAATTTCACACAAAATTTCACTTTAACAGTGTATGAATACTAATTGCATAATACTCAAAAGACCAATTTTTCATTGAACAAAGAAAATCAAAGATAACGCACCTCTTTACCGGCAGACGCTTGGTACTTTGTCCTTAGCGATGCTAATGTAATCCATAACGACTGTACATGTTTGCACTGACAGTTGCTTTTTGCCTGATGTGAAATAAATATATATTGTATACGGTACTTATTAAGGATGCGGGCACTCCGCACTAATTTTGAACTTATTGTCAAGGGTTTATAACTCAATTTGAGGTAGCCACCATTCCAACTCATATTTCATTCATAAGATATTCATTACGTCCTAAAGCAGAATATAGTTTTCTTTGTGGTCTTTTTTTCTAATGAATCCTTTCAGACGTCCTCATTTGAACCGTTTTGATTTCGTTTCTCAAAAATATCGTTAAGCCATTTAAAAAGTTTGGAAGGGATAATGTGTATTCATATTAACTTTTAGTTATTTTTAAAATGTACAATGAAATCAAATACATCAAAATGAATTACTTGGAAGTCCCTGGCCTAGAATTAACCTTACAATAAGCACACCTGGAAATTAATGTATCTTGCATAAAGTCTTACATTAGGTAAAAAGAATTATCATAAAAAAAGGGTTTACAATGAAACAGTTCAATCAAGGGCCCCTGGAGAGATTCAATAGAAAAGAAAAAAAAATAAATTGGATTACCCGGTATGTCTTTTTAAAATAGTTAAATGATTGGTAAAAAAAAATTGAGTTTCAAGTGAGGGTGTCTGAAATGGATTTAAGTATCTTGTGGTAAAGAAAAATTAGGGAGTGCAAAGTATTGTAAACCAACTTTTATTCGCGTGCGAGAAATTTTCGCTAGGTTTGCCAGACCAGATACCTCGCCGCGAACCGGTACTTCAAGTCTTACTGTGTATTAAAAACAAACCTAACAATGCTTGATCGCGAAAACTAATCAACGCAAACTAATTCACACCCGGCTAATACCGAAATAAAGTCATCACGAATAAAAGTCGGTTTATGGTTTACGAAACAAATGCCCACTGTTTATGTTTTCGCTTAAAAAACATTAAAAGAAAAGTGAAAAATATTCATTTCCACACATACTGTAAAGATATTAAGCATGATTGGTTATAAAAAAACAACAACTTTAAATGTAGAACTAAAATTACGTGATAGTTCCCGATGGAGAGTTAAAACTTTACTGTTTCTTTTAAGCCGTAAAAATTGTTATAAGGGGATAATAGATAAATACTAAGGGATATCAAAAAGTTCGAGGACTAGCGCCATAAAATTAAAACCGCTTTAGGTACATGAATGAATCTTAATAAATCTAGTTATCATAGTCTTTTCCATCTATAGAATAAATCACATATCATGAATTTTATGTTTGAATAAATTATTAATGTTTTTGGAAGCAATGGTCTGTCCATGCAGTGAATACCTCGAAAACGACGTTGTTTTCGACCTAAATGTAGCTAAGAAAAACTATTGTGATATAAACATTTGACATCCAAATACCCCGTTAATATAGGTATGTGTTGGGACACTATTGTTCCATAAAATATTAAATTTTACATCATTCTGGAAGTTCTATGAAATTTTATCGTAAATTTTACATGGATTATCCAAACAAATATTTCCTTGAAAATGACGTCAAAGGGGGGGGGTCCTTTTCCAACATTTTATAACGTTTTGCCCCTTGAAAAACTTGTATACACCTACGAAATGTTTATACTGGCTACGGAGAAATAATGTGCACCCAGATTTCTTGTTTGTAATGCCAAAAAAGATTCAGAGAGAAAATGAATGCACAGTTTATGTCGATTTGTAGTCAAGGTGTGAAAAATCAATCACGTCAAAAGATGACAATGATCATGTGTTGTAGATATTGAATTCCAAAAAGCAAAATATGCTGGCACAATCAAGCAAGAATCTCTGCCATTGTATAAATCTTATTTGTAATAGTACATGTATATGCATTGAAAGCCGCTGTTCATGACATTGTAAAGTCATATAAATACATGAAATAAGACGAATTGAAGTCTTTCCTCAGCTCCAGGGAATCTCATCAAAACAAGTGTATGAGGTAGAAAAAGCAGACATTGAAAAACAATGACGTTGTCGGACGTCATAAAACTATACAACAACGGCACCGGGTGATGATATAATGTCGTTTTTATTTCATAATAATTTTGGAAATAATAAACGTATCAAGCTCAAATTTTCAACATTTCTTTATTTTTTATTGTTTTATGCTCCTTATAAATTTTGTTAGCTCAGACTACACAGTACTTATTTTATAGCCTCAGTCCACGAACTTTTTGATAACCCCTCCTATATATTATGTTTAAATGGATGTATTTGCAGATGTCAATATACGTATTCAATTCAAAGTTCCTTACCTGTTGACTTGATACTGAAGATTCCATTCGCAAAGTATTCATCATAAAATCCTCGAAATACCTATCTGGATCACCTCTAACAGAAGTGAGGAAATTAATTGAAATGTCAAGCATGTCCAAGGAATCACACACATCTGTATACGAGCGAATCTCTGAACAAATTGATTTACAAAGGGATCGCTTAAGAGGCACCTAAATGTAAAAGAAAAAAATATTAGCCAGAGATTTGATAGGAATGTATATATGCAGTACAGTTAATGTGCTTTTATTGGGGCGGCGATTATTTTTAGTACATTATTCATTTCAGATAATTGTAAAGAATTTTATTCGGTAATAACCAATATTTGCCCCCCAAATCAAACTTTGATGGAGATATATTTAAGTTGTAAACAGGGGAGAATATGCTGACTTCAAAACATTGAATATTTTTATAAGTATTGACGCCATATGTATGTAATGACGTCACAAACATGACGTAAATTTCAGATTTTTATGAATTTTACAGAAAAATGTACATATTTTGTCGATATTTTGAGTAAAAGTCACCGAGCGCATGTGTGTTCAGGATCAATATTTTGATTACATACTTAGTAATAAATACAGGTTTTTTGTTTATGCGATATAGCTGACGTCACAATAGCCGTATCAACCCTGCAGGGCTGATATGGATTTGCGGGGCTGATAACCTATATCAGCCCTGCAGGGTTGATTCGGCTATTGTGACGTCAATATCACACCATTTAGTAAATTAAACCTCAAAAACAGTAATTGTGATCATACACATATTTTTGGGGTAACAAAATTAATTTTTAATTTAACTTTTTGAATGTAATGATAATCTAACTGATAAAGAAACAATCATTTTAAAATTACAGATTGGGGACATTTGAAATAGAACTGTATGAGACAATAGACTGTGTACATTTCAAGAAGTCCATGCATAATTATTTAATTATTTTCTTCTCAACTTAATGTGTTGTGTGTAATAAATATAATAAAACATACCCTTTTCCACATCACATCCTGTATCAGCCCTCGGGCCTTCGGCCCTCTGGCTGATATTGGTGTCTCGGGCTGATACAGGATGTGATATGGAAAAGGGTATGTATTATTCTCTATATAATGTGTAGAATGATAATATCAATGAAATATGTCTATATTGTTCCTTAACAAACTTGCGCTCTATAAATTTCAAAGCTAAAATTGTTGAAATTTTGTCCATTTTGTCTTCTTTCTGAAAAAGGATATAAAATCGAACAAGTTTGTGCTAAAAATTGTGAATACACTGCTTTGACACTATGATATTTGCTGTTAATTTATATTTCTCATACAATTTATTGAATTCAGCACATTTCAGGAAGTTTTCAAAATTTGACTTTTATGGGGGCAAATATATGCAATATACCGCATATAGTTCTTTGGTTAATAAACTACACATTGTCTGTATACATGCAGCTGTCTTTCTATCTGCCCCAAAATGTTTTCCGTACTTTATTCCAATTGAAGATATTAATCTGATTTTTGGTTAGGATGTATTTTAATGAGTGAAAGTTTAAGTTTGCATTTAATTATCATTCAATTTTTTTTTGACGGAATTACGATCGTTTGGCTTCAATTTCGTAAGGGTTTTCCACAATATTTTTCTACCGGAATGGATATATTGAGTTATTTTTTTTTTATTTCTAAATTCCAAGTTTTCACTTCGTTCCACTTTAAATAAATATTAACGGACTAATTATATTTTCATTTTCTAGGTAGATCACACTTGCTTGTAAGGGAGAAGTATTTACAGTGCAATACTTTCAGAATTTTTGTTACATTGTACAATTTAAATATATTATGACTAGAGCAAACAGCAATGCAAAAATAAGCCAGTTTCTGGTATTTCCGGTTTGACCAGAAGTGATGAAGACGGACGGAAAATTAATTTTTATGCTCCCAGTGACAGATATTACCCAAAAATGTGTCAAGAACTGCAAAACATGCGTTTTCCGACTACTTCCGGTTTGCCCAGAAGTGACGTCGACGGAAGTACTTTCTTGACTCCCATAGATTAAGCTTGATATTTTTAACAACTTTCCTTCGTTGACGTATTACAAATTCTCAATACTTTTTTTAGATATAAGGGAAAACGTTCGGCCCCTCTAGGCCCTTAATTTTAGGGGCCAGCCTTATTTTTTTTCGAGATATCATTAGAAAGATATTGGAATTCTACACTTCTTTTATTATACATACTTCAACAAAATGTTTCTAGGTAAAAAAATTGTTATTGATAATGTGTCAAAATTTTTGAAATTCTACATAGGACGATCTTCGGACCATAGCGAGCGTCAGCGCTTCTTTCTTCCAGTGACATGATATACTCAATTCACTTCTCCGGAGGTTGTTCTTTCTTCACTGAAAATTTAATACTTCTATCTTTAACGGTTTTTGAGAACATTGCCGGACAAAGTGACCATAAAAAAATTACAAATCGCAAAAATCTCCGAACTGGAAGTGACGTCATAATTTTCATTTCTAGATTTTTTGATGTTTCCATCAGACCTGAAAGTTTCATGAAAATCCATCGAGCCGTTTCAAAGAACTCACGTGCACAAAATTGGTAAGAAAAAATAATAATAAGGAAAATAGTGGAAAGAAACCTAATAAAAACAATAAGGTCTTCCACTGAAGACGGAAGACCTTAATTATAATTTATAAAATATCAAATGATTTACAAAATATAAAATGTAAACTATGAAAATACATAAGGATAAATGCGCAAAACTTTTTCTTTTAAAATTTAGATATGTTTGCTAAATTAAGAAGAGAAATCATACTCTAGAGTACCAGTTTGGACAGTACTTAAAAAAGGAAGAGTAGAGTGAACGGTGAAATATGTCTAAAAAAAAAAAAATTAATAAAAAAAAACGTACGACAAAAAAGTCAAGAAAAACAAAGTGGAAATTAGGTTGCTTCATAATAGCAAATCAATGAAACAAAAGTTCAGTCACTGTGTTTACCACTGAATACAGGAAAATTTTCGCCCTCTTTTTATTTTCGCCCCTTTCGCCCTACCTTCAGGTGGGCGAATTTAAAACGGGGTGAATTTAAAATACACAGCATGATTTCTTAAACATAATTGTAACTGGGCGATTTTAAAACAGGCAAAATTGTTTCCAAGTGTGAATAGGGCGAAAATAAAACTAGGGGAAAATAACCCACTGTATACAGTATCTAAAGAAAAATAACACTTATCTCATTCCTTTTCTCTAGTTATTAGAATTTTAAGGTAGAAAACTCTATGTATTGATGCCTGAACTCCTATTGTGAAGGTATCAGACTCCTCCGGGTAACTTTAAGATATGTGAATGACATTGTGTGAGTGAAATACTTGCTTCAAACAGCTCTAAATGTAAAACTAGATGTGTTTGTAAAACACTATACGCCCGGTGGAAACAAAGTTTAAAAAATATTTAGCATAAAGGTCACAGTCAAGTTTACAAGAACGTTGATCTTGGTGTCATTTGGAAGAATTTGATAAGTGAAGTATGCTTATCAAATATTAAGTCTCTATCTTTCCTCTTTCAAAAGTTATGGCAAATGAGGTATATTTAGCGTATTAGTCAGTCAAGGTCATAAGGACATTGACCATGGTACGCTGTATCATTTGAAAGAGCTTAATCAGTGATTTATGCATACCAAATATGAAGTCTGTATCATTCATGGCTCAAAAGTTATGGCGAAGGTTATATTTTGCAAACAGACAGACAGACAGGACAAAACAATAAACGCCTCGGATTTTTCGATCCGGGTGAATAATTATGAAACTGGTATTCTGTGGATTTTATATTTAGAACAGTATCTGGCATATATATATATATATATATATATATATATATATATATATATATATATATATATATATATATATATATATATATATATATATGTACATTGTATCATGGTTTATATGAAAATGGGTGTGTTAAAATAAATAAACAAGCCTTTTGTTTATTACGTCTTTGCACCTACCTGAGGAACAGATGATCGCAGATTTTGAAGAACATTGCAATTCGTAGATTCAGAGCGATATGTCATCAAAGTTATCTTTCAAATAAAAGAATAAATAAAGAAGATTTATTAAATAAATAATACAGCATATTTTTATGTTTTAATTATATTGTATTGATAATAAATGATTGAATTAAACAGAATACAAATATTCAACGATAAAACATGTATAGCCATTAAACAAATGCTGTCGTTCTAGTTCTATATGCCATTACTTACATAAATCAAAATGATATTTTTTTCGTGAAAGAGTTAGAAAAACAAAAAGTATTTTTCCAAATAGACAACCTGTCGTATCAATTGGAGCAAGTTTTCATAGCAAACTTGTACATGTAATGAAAATTGAAAATTTGAACATGCATACACAATGACTTTTAACAATAAAATTATCTTTACTGTTCTCTAGTTTAAATACAATTCATTTGATCGTTTTCTCTTGACTTCAAATCAATGATAACAAGAGACCAATGGGCCAAAACGCTCAACCAGGTAACTGACCAAGATGTTTTAATGACCAAACACTATTTTGTCTTTTATTAATTATCTCGCTTCGTAAGTGGTCTTGGTACTCCATTTAAAAATTGAAATATCCCTTTACCCAACAATGCTTTGTACAGCCCCTGAGATGTCCTACTACCCTCATATACTCGCTGGACAAACGGTACACGAACGCTACACGGTTTGCACGAAACGCTGCACGGTAAACATATGATCCAGCAGCCATGATGTTAAAAAGAGGCACCATTGCTCATGATAATTATTCCACTTGATTTTTAAGATTAAAGCCCAGTTTCAATAATTTAAAAAATATATATCAAACACTTTCACTTTTTGATCTACAGAATCATGTCCTAATTAGAGAAATCCTGACCGTTATAAGCTATAATTGATAAACTTGGTACAGGATTCAATGCCTTTTAGAATCATGTCAACAATTTGATTGCTCGTTGTGCACATTTTACATTAGTAAAGAATAAAAGGTCGCAGTTTTTTTTATGGTTTTAACAGCGTTTGATTCACCCTTATGGTCACGGAGCAAGCGAAATCAGAGTAATTTGATTTACGGATTGTGTAAACGTTCATCAATAGATGTTATAAGTCAATAGTGGTTCAAACTGGTATAGTGCTTGAAAAGTAGAGGCTGAAAAAGTCTAAGTGTATATGCACGCCGAATGTTAACGACGAATTACGCTCAGCGCAGTACGAACAATAACGGAGGAAACAGAAAGCAAAAGGTCACCAGGAGATTCTTGTTACCTAAAACACAAAATAAGAATTCCAGAATCTATTACGTTGTGCACAATAAGAACAATTAAAAAAATCCTCATTCATAGAAAAGTTACCTGTTTGATATCCATTTTGATAGATGACTTGGTGAATAGAAACCGATCAATTATTTGTCGTTCTATGCTCTGAAAGTTGTACTCAATACTTGTCTCAGAGTTAAGATCAAACGAATAATTGCTGTTTGCGATAACAATCGGAAGTATGTCCCTCTCTACATGATAACTGATGAGATGGGCTGCAGTTATATCCGAAATAAGGACATCAGCCATTCTGTTTTCTCTAAGAATAAATTAAATTTGATTATTATTTTGATCATTCATGTTTTATTTCAAAATAAGGGTGCCTTTTGTGAAAACAACTAACAATTTTTTGTCTGTGTAATACAGTTGAAGGAAATCATTTTGTTTCTCAAAAAGGAAAAACAACAGGCAAAGGGTGCAGACTCCGGGGCCCCGAGCAGATGGAAGCAACACGTTCATTAAGTTGTCATCTGTTATGTCTTTTTGACAAAGTTCTTTTGGAACTAAACTTAGTCCTGGAAAAACTGAAAGAAAAATTATGGTAAACGGTCATAATTTTCAACGATGATGAATGTTTTACGCTGTGCTCCATGTTTCCCATAAGAAAAAAGAAACATCAAGACATAGGCTTATTTTATTAAATGTTTGGTTAGATGGCTAAAATAATATTATCTCTAATGTCGTTTACCGCAAGTAAGTGCATATTAAAGTGAGCAATATATTAGAAATACATTTTTGATACAATCTCTTTTACGAAATAAATAACAATTAAAAATGTATTTCTATTAAAATCATTTAAAATATTGATTATAAGGAGACCATAATTGTCTCTTTTCATATAAAGTCATTTAACATTTTTGAGAACAGAGGATTTATGATTTTTTTTTTATCAAAGACACCCTATTTTCACGTTAGGTACCTGTGAACAGCATACTCCGTTTTTGTTATTCATTTTTTACGTATAGATTTATTATATAATTCTACAAATACGGCATGTACCAGTGAAATTTGAAATAAAATTTGTTTTCAGAAAATAATCCAAAAATATGTACTCTCGTTCGCATAATGCTTTCGAATAGTCGACTAAGGAAAATAAATATATATATTTTGACATCCCTATTATTTTTTTTTTTAAATCCGTAGACAATTTAACTGACATTCTGACTTATTGGTATACTGTTTTTCCTTTAAATGTCATTATAGTGACTAAAATACATAAAAGGATGCCTTTAAACGCAATTGTTTATATCCATATTTTATCCACATATTTTGGCAATAGATTGACTTGTTTTAGAAGTTATATTACTTGCAGCACACACTTTGGTATAGAAACAATTGAGGGACATAAACTATTATCAGGCAAATAGGACATATTGCTACATATAATGAGTATGTAAGAAATTTTTACGATTGAAAAAAATGATATCATTATTATCACAAAGGTTTGTTTTGTAGATAACCGTTTAACAAATACAGTTGCACTATACGCTAAGGACTAGTGATCACATACTTCACATATGTAATCCTTGTGATAAGGTTCTTCATTGAATACCAGGAACTTTGAACTTGACCTTGAAGTTTGACTTACTATTAAAAAGCAAACCTTGACCATTACGTTTAAAGGGTCGGGGCTAGTACTTTCATACTTTACATATTTATTTTTGTTTTGTGGAATGGCTTTTCATTTGATGGCAAAAACTTTAACCTAGACTTTGGAGTTTGACTTACTTTTTAAAAAAATTAACTTTGGTCCTAACTTCTGATCTTTCAGGACTAGGGCTTCCATACTTTACATATGTATTTTTTGTGGCAAGACCTCTCATTGGATACCTATGACCTTGACGATTTCCGTACTTATGAAAAAAAAACTTTAATCTTGGCCTACTTTCATATTTCACAATTGTATTTCCAGTGAGAAAACCCTACTTTTGGTACCAATTTATTAAATTTGTATTTAAGAAAAGTTTAATCTTTGCTATGTTGCCATACGGAGGCATCAGTGTTTCACAAACACATCTTCTTTTTACTAGTACGAAAATCTCCAAGGTCAAGGTCAAATTTGGTGGTACCTAAAACAAGGTCTTGTCACAACAAATACACATGTGAAATATGAAAGTCATAGCTCCACTCAATCAAAAGTTACAGGCAAGGTTAAAGTTTTTGCGGACAAACAGAGAGACAGCTAGACGGACAGACACGACAAAAACTATATACCCCCGAAACTTTAACAAACGTTTACAGGGGCATAAAAACTTTAGCCTTTGCAATAACTTTTGAACGGTAGGGGCTAGAGCTTTCGTACTTCACATATGTAATATTATGTATGTGTAAGAAGACGCTTCATTGGATACCAAGAGCTTTGACCCTTTGACCTTGGAGTTTGCTCTACTTTTATGAAATAAATCTTGACCATAACTTTTGAACAGTTAGAGCTAGAACTTCCATACTTCACATATGTATTCTTTGTGGCGAGTTCTTTTTTTGTATATCAATAACCTTGACCTTTTGACCTTGACCATAGAATTTCCAGACTTATGAAAAAGCATTAATTTTGGCAATTACTTTTGAAGATTAAAGGCTAGGACATTTATACCCCACATATGTAATTCTTGTGACAAGGTCTTTCATTCAATACCAATAACCTTGACCTTCTGACCTTTATCTTGAAGTTTAAGCTATTTTTAAAATCTTTTTACCTTGGCTATAACTTTTGAATGGTTCGGGCTAGGGTTTAACACAGATGATTTTTGTGGAAAGACCTTTCATTAGATATCAATAACCTTGACCTTTTGACCTTGATCTGGAAGATTTCTGTACTTATGAAAAAACTGGCCATAACTTTATAACAGATGATGATAGGGATTTCTAGTTTCACAATTTTTATTGTATTTCCAGTCAGGAGAATACCGATATATTAAATTTGCATTTACGAAAGTTTAATCTTCATTAAGTTGCCATACGGGGGCATCAGTGTTTCACAAACATATCTTGTTCTATATTGTTATGCGATTACTGAGACATTATATAAATTTTGGATATATATTGTAGTCTCACCAAATCTTTCCAATTGTTTTCGGAGACCTTTCCATGCCTCGAAGAAATCCCCTAGAAGTTTTTTCAAAGTTTCCCTCTGCTCCTCTATCAAAAAAAGAACTTATTGAAAAAAATAAAAATTTTTACGGAGTAATAACTAGTTAAATTAAAAGTACACATTGACAATATATAAATTTAAGTTAATTTGTACGAGAAGCATACTCGTTTTATTAGATGTTATACATCTTATGTAGAATTTATAAGGTGTACCATTTTACATGTTTAATCATATTTTAATCAAAATGGGAACTTAAGAAAATATATTTACCATCGTCGAACATATCCATCATTTTTCTTATTTTTGTTGTTGAGGCATCTCTTCTGTCAATCTTTCTTTGAAATTTTTGGGTTATTATTTTTTGCAGTGTCAAAATGCTTGGAATTAATCGGATAAACCTAAGAGTGTGACTCTGTTAATAAATTGGAAATAATGAAATGAGAACCTGATTTCCTACATAAAGTATTACATGTATATTCTGATTACATAAAACTGTAAACCAACTTTTATTCGCGTGCGAGATATTTTCGCAAAGTTTGCAAGAGCCTCCTCTCCCGAATATTTCTCGCCGCGAAACCGGTTCTTAAAATCTATGTGTTTATTATCAAGAGGCCTTCACAAGAGGCCTAAATAGGCTTGATCGCGAAAATTAATCGTCGCTAACTAGTTAACCCTAGGTAAATCGCGAAATAAAGTTGTCGCGAATAAAAATTGATAAACAGTATTCTTTTAAACGTATTGATTAATAATGAAATAAACATTTCTTTAGACAAAATTCTTTATAATCTTTACATTTCTTATACTCGAATAGTCATGAAAATTTACATTTGTAAATATATTCAATGGTTTTCAAACCTGGTCAACGAATCCCCGTAGCACCACTAGCATATCTGGAGGTATTTTAGTCATGAAAGTCAACGAGAAATGGTCCATATCAATCTGAGACCTGTATGACCAGGCTGCTGGGTGTTCATGCAAATCCTCTATTTTACTTGGTTTCTCAATAGCATCTAAAATATACCAGGTTTGTGATAAAATACACCTAAGAATACATAATTTACATATTTAGAAGATGAAGTCATATTTTCTCTACCTTTCACACAATAAAACAATAACAATGATCAGAATAAAAAATATTTTTCAATTAATTTTTGAAAGTACTTTTTTAAATACTTTTCTTATCATGTCTCTCGATTGCATTCAAGTTCCGCAATGTATAAAATGGAAAGACAGTAAAAGTTTTATTTCCTCTTAAGTCTATGTGTTTGCTGAAAACAATTATACAAAATGATTCTTGAAAACAAAAGATATGTAAAGATTGAAAGCTTTTGCTCTGTAATACTTGAACACAGATTGCTAAAATAGATATAATGTCTTGGAACAGTTGACGCTTTTAATCAAGCGGTTTCAAAACGTTTACTCCCTTTCTATAATACCGGTGGTTCTACGGTACCGGGGTATTTCTATTTTCGTCTCTCCCGTTCAAAAAACGACACCTAGTGGCTGGCTATTTTTGGACAGGATAAGTGATACGCTGCTGTAAAGCTCCGTATAAATTATTTATTAAATGTTATGATGTTTGATAAGTAATCAGCTTTTTTTCCACAAGACCATATTTTCTGTGTTATTTTGCAACACACTTCATACAAGACATCGATAAAAATGTTAAAACAGCTATACTGTGAATCATTTTCCCAGAAAGTGTTCAGCTTTGTTGTTGTACGATGATTTGAGGTGAAAAGTCTTGTCTAAAAATATATGGCACACTGTTCTTATTAAAATAATATAGCTTTTTAAAGAGCGAAATAATAATGAAGCTTGTGATGATATTGTTTCGAATCAACCTGAAAAGGTATCAAAAAACATCGATTTTAAAAAGCTTTTTCTAAATTATTTTTTTAAATAAAATAATGTTCATATGTAATTAAAGAGAAATATAGATAAGGTAAAATTTAACCAAATGTCAGTGCTATCATGGTTATTTATAACTTGATTAGAAATCTATGGAAGATATGTAATATTTTAAAAGATAAATGAAATAAAAAATATTAGATCAATATGTTTTAGCGAATTTAGATGGAAATAATTTTTAACAATTTAAAATAAATCCATTTTTTATTTAACGTTATTTTTAATGGGAAAATATGTTGATTTTAATAATAAAAAAAGACGTCTTTTGTTTTGATTTATGACTATTCTAGCTCGCCATACATTTGCATCGGTACCAGAGTAACGTCCCTTGAATACATAAACGCTAGACTCGGTTAGATTTCTATCTTTCTCATGTTAACACATGTAAACAGTACAATTAAAACATCATAAGAAGGTTATCATTTAATTTTTCTACTGACATGATCGACACAACACCTGTTAAATGATTATATAAAACAATAATAGACCGAATGCCTGACTTTCAAATTAAGTACACCGGTACCGTCGGACCCCGGCATAACCCTAATGTAGATTTTCCAAAGGGTTTGGAAAAGTTTTGGAATTCCAATCATTTCTATACCAAACTCGAAAAGTGTGTCTGGAAGTTTTTGGAATATTTTGGAATTTGAAAAAAAAATTGGACTTAGTGATTTTTTGGCTTGGAAAGTAGTGGAATTCTTTGGAAAAAATGATAAAATGAGAAACTTAGCCATTTTCTGCGCTGGAAAACTGTGGAAAATTACTTAGAATATCTAACTGTCGAATAATAGTACAATAACATCGGGATCGAAGTCGGGCTCGATGAACAATTAATTAAAACAACACGCCGAAATTCAAAAATGGTTACAGAGTACTAATTTTACCCCTATTTCATTGACCACTCAAGTAGTTCCAGTTTAAAAGTAGAGGTTTTTCCTTAAAAATTCTTTGGGGTGTTTATGGAGTGGAAAGCGGTTATTTTTGGGCATAAATGGCAAGGAGATGGTCTGAAAAAAATTATTAAAAAGATAATAATGGGAAATTTTGCTTTTAAGTGCGTAGTAGGAAGGGTGTAAAGAGGCCCATATTTACCCTTTCCTCGAAGAGAAAGTGAAAAAAGCAGGGTAGGGGTTATTTGCGATGCCATAAAAGGACTTGCAGACTATGAATGTTCCTGAGAACTAGGTAAATTTTTGGACTTGAAATGGTCTTACTCTGTGCCAAGTTTCAGGTAAGTTGAGCCGGTGTAAGTTTTTAAAATATTTTTTATGTTATAAAGGAATGTATAGCAAAATAATTGGTAGTCTGTGTCCAAATATCGAGTGCCATGTTGATGTTGCACAGAAGGAAAGTTGGAAAGAACTGAAGGTGTCTAGAATAGGGGAATCATGATTGGCTTTGGATGGAAAAAGATGAAGACATTTTAAGACCCGGTAGGTACAATATTGTACAGTATTTTATGTGTCCTTGAATGAAGAACGCTTCTGCCCCTACTGTTCATAAGTCTGGACACCACACATAAACTGCCCGATGATGAAATCGTTAGTGCACTATTTCAATTTTGTAATAATTTAACATCATGGATTTTAACTCGAATTTCCTCGTTTGGAATCGAACTGTTGTAAAGAATTTTACCTGTACGTTCTTTTTTTTTTCAAAATAACATATACAGAGTATGATGTACAATGTAATTATTTATATATTTTTAATGCATGTTCATGATCATTTTCAGCTCTTATTTTAATTATTTTATAGTTGCTGCATTGTGCCTGAGATGATCCCCACAGCGATGGCGTTTGATAATTTGGTGGATGTAGATGCTTAGCCAATCAGTCACTAAGGTTGTGCATATGGTGAGAACTAGCTCAAATTATCATTCAAACCAAGTAAACTAACTTTGATTTTAATAATCCATGTCTATGTGCACAAGATTAAAAAAAATTATTGCAAGTTTGCCATGTAAACAAAATTTAAAGGTTTATATTCTTAACATGCTTAAATTCCTTTTTCTTATAATTTAAAACAATGAATTCTGACAGGTAATCTAAACATGCTAACTGTACAGGCATGCATAATTATTTTAGATAAAACAGCAATCATCTACTATGAAGTATACATGCATTTTACAGGAATCCGGATGCTTACAAGGACAAGAGCTGTCTGAACCCCCCCCCCCCCCCCCCCCCCCCCCCCCCAAAAGGTCAGATTTCTTAATTATTTTCTAAATCAATAAAATCACATGAATTGAAATTATCTTTTTCAGTATCAGCTCACCTGAACCATTTTAAGGCCTAAGTGAGTTTTTTGATCAGTAGCTGGTGTTGTCTGTCGTCTATAAACTTTTCACATATTTACATTTATCAGAATTAATCCTAATTTGAAAAAAAAAATTGCAAGATAGTGAATTCATATTCTACAGTAAACTGATTTGCCAGGTTGAAAAAAAAACAATTGTTTTGTATAGCTTTAGTTTATTATTTGTCATATATTTATATGGATATCAATAATGATGAATCTTAATAGTCATCTTTCCTTTCAGAAATTGTACAAGGAAAGTTTGAAGTGTCTGTGGGAATGATCATCATCCAACTTTCTGGGCCTTCGTACTGAAAGTGAATGCATTCATGACACCAATTATCTGTCAGCCCTGTAACATAACCATTTACTAATTTCATTGGATATATCAGTGAGGAAGTGATTCTAGCAAACACGTCAGAAGTTTTGGATCTTCATTAATTGGGATCTTTGGCACGTACGTTGGGGGAATCTGTTGATTGTATGGGATCTTTGTATCAATATAGTTGTGTAGTACATATTTTTTGCATTCAATACATGTGTTTGTCACTCTAGATCTAGTCATTAACTTTGTACCAGTACATAAGCCACTGGTAGTTCATTGTTAATGTATACTCTGTTGAGGTTTCAATGACCTCTCCACTTCCATGTCCAATGTCATTTAATAAAACTAACTTCTTATTTTAGAAAATGCAGACTGGAGTTTACTGAATACATGTATATCTTAACATGATTATCATTAATTTAACCTAGGTGATTCTCCAATAATCATACTCTTCCCTGGATATTTTTTAAATAACCTTTGATGTAAAATACTTTCAGTGAGAATACATTTAAAAAGTGTGCTTATATTGTACATCTGAGAGTATATATGCAATATTTGTCTCAAAAAACATGATTGTAAAAGAAACAATGAATTTTTTATTTTGAAAATATAGATTTGATCTATGAAAAATTGTGATGTTATCAATTTTTTTTTGTAATTATTTGGCACCTATTATTTCACTTTTTATTGAATTTGTATTTGGAATTTGGAATCCTGGAATTCCATGGATTTCCATGGAATTCCTTAGATTTACAAATATCCTGGAATTCCAGGCTAGATTAAAAATTCCAAATCATTCCGAAAAAAGTTCCGTCCCAATACTCCGGAGAATTCCTAAGAATTCTGCGGAACAAAAATTCCATGGAATTCCATGGAATATGCTTAGGAATTCCATGGAAGTTGCGGAAAATCTTCATCAGGGAAACAGCCCCATCGAATGTTACTAGAAATGTTAGAGCGAGGCGAACTTCCAAGACTTAATAACCTCTAGGTCATTGCACGTTATAAAATAGAAAGTGAAGTCCGTAAGGGTCACACATTTTATTGTATATATATCTATATCTGCTAAAATAATCATTTAAAAAGGATTAATTATTGTATTAATGATGTGAACGTCTTTGTATGTTTCATTGATGGAACAGGCACTGATGAAGAAATCGGTACAGGTGACATGCCTAATGTAGTTCATGCAATGATTAACGCAATGTTTTTTTTTCTTAAGAAATAAAGGAGGAAATATTCAATAGATGGAAAAATATAGTCTTGCAAAATCGCCTCGCACCAACATTTGAATGTTCACAGATATGTTCATCAGTCCAGTTCAGGAATTCTCTGTTTGTTTTGAAAAAAAAAACCAATGTTCGCTACTGAGAATTATCTAACGATTTTAGGAGATTTGAAGAAACATGTAGCTGAAGTTAAAAGCGGTTGTATCGCTTGTTTAGGTAAAGATAACTTCGAAGGAATATTATGTTAAACAGGTAAGTTCAAATTCATAATAATTAAATACTTTAGTAATTTTAACATTCCTCATACCGAGAGAAGATCTCTCGAACACTTGCTGATTGAAAGATATTCATATAATCAAATATTTCAATAACTCTTCATCACTTTTAAATCGCGACGCAAAATTTTATTTTGGCGTATAATTGTAATCCTTGGAAATATATAGAGCAACAACTACAATTCGCGAAATATTTGTCTCGCTTTACAAAAAATCTATGCCTATCTTGCAAAAATAAGGTGTTGCTATAGTCAATATATAATCTCGCTCTGTGATTCGACCTGGCTATAACCTCTGGCCGCTTTAGAAAATCAGAAATAATTGAACATATTTTTCTCTTCATTCAGTTTATCTTAGAAATTTTAAATTATTTGCAAATGTACAAACTACAGTATAACAAGGGTTGCTAATTTTACAAATGAATTCATTAATTATTATTACGTCTTATCATATCATGTCTAACGTTGCATAAATAAGTCTCAGAAATGACGTCATAATGAACATAAATAATTTCAAGTCTACTGATTAGCCCGCAATGGGCGAAAGCCCTAAAGATTAAAGTTTGAGTCTTTCATTTCTGAAAGGGATGAAAGAAAAACAACATATTACATACCTTCTTCTGTGGCCTTTGTTGTCAAATTATTGACTTCTTTCATGATTGTATCCGATTCCTGTAAATACGACATAATGCATTAATTCAGTGTACATTATTAACTGAACCGTGAAATGTATGACGTGATATCTAGAAAGGGGCGAAAACCTAAAGGCACGTTTTGTATTGCAAGATCTTGTAGTGACACTATATCAACTTGAAGCTAACAAATCTCTTTATCATCTTTCTCGTGATATGACATATTAATTTTGAAATTCGGAAATGAAATCTTAGGGTAAACTCGATCACATCAATAAGCTGGTGATCTGGCAATTGACCTGATGGTGACCAAATCTTAAAATAAAGATATGTAAGCATAACTGTTCAAACAAATTGGAAGTTTTTGTTATTTTTAAACAGCATGGATCATCTTAAAGTACAACTACAACAAGTTCTTTAAGTTCAATAGAGGAAAGATCACTTAGGCGATTGCAGGTCTTCAAAATTCACAAAAAACATTGTATCGAGGCTATTGCATAAGACGACAGTCAGCGCGTGAGATCAAAGTACACAAAAACTGGCATATTGAATGTATCAGCCAAGGCGTGGATCCTAGATTTACAGACGAAAGAAAACTATAAAAAATAAATGACAGCTCATACTAAGTGAATGTAAACATTCTTTTTTTTTAATTCTAAGTTTGATGAATAAAACTGTTATCATATTTTTTATAAATCTTATTTGCATTATAGTTATTGATGGAAAGAGAATTCTAAAAAAATTCTTCCTGTATTCCTTGAAATATTGATTGATTACATGCTGTTAATATCACTCTACAGAAATTTTTACATTTATAGATTTGCTGTTGGAGAGCTACAAATTTTGACGTAGACTCAATGGGATCATTAAGAAGGGAAGGATCGTTTTCGTGCCAGCACCCAATTCGACATATATATTTATATTCTTGAAAAATAAGCCAAATTGTAAAATGCGTGTTCTATGGAAGAGCATACAACGGGTGTAGGGTCGGGTTGGAGGAATGGGGTGGTTGAGGTGGCGACCGTTCGGCAAGGGATTCTCACTCCTCTATTATTGCTCACCTCCTATTTTGTAATGGTGTTGCAATTACCATTGAAATGGATTTGAATATAATAAGCGATAAAAAGCATTCCTCCATGGCACATGATCCTAGATCTTATGTTTAAGAGGTCCATGTTTGATATTAAAAAAAATGAGATTCAAATTTACATGTTGAAGACATTTATTTTATTCACTTTAGACTTGTCATGTGATGCCAGAGTCACGTGATTTTAGCAAATATACTCGCAGTTTAATGGTCGACTATAAATTCTAATATTGCTAGGACATAACCAATTTCAAAAACTTCGTTTAATTTATGATTCTTTTCAACGCCTTATGTACTTCCTGAAAAATGATGCGAACCTATATATTAGATTCCACTATTAACTGTTAAAATTACATTATAAAGACGACAGTTTGAATATTTTATTTGTAAGATTTTATGAGGTTCGCAGCACTTTTCAAATACTAATGCTACTTGAGTTTATGTGTAAAAACTTGGCAAGATACATTAAGAGTGTGTCCTTGCATTAAAACGGTTTATTAGAGCCCCTCTATTACTTTTTCAATAAATCTCCCATCAAAAACACCACAGAATAACTTATCTGGAAAATATATAAACAATATATAAATAAAACAACAAAATAGACATTACATCCAGGGTTACGGCTTTTTATATAACTGCAAATTGTTTATCTTTTAACAAAAGACATTTTTTCAATTTACTAAATATGGCTTGATCAGCCTCTCGCTGTGTTATAAACATTGCGTCAACTTTTACAAGATGATGGCACATTGACAAGCAATGTTTAAATGTTGTTGTGTGGAGTAAAACAAATGACACAAATCCATGTAATAGTAAGTCTTTATGTAACCTAAAGTTATCCAGCAGTTTAAAATGGCAATTAATTTCAGTTTGTGGTGTTTTGATTATTCAAAAATGTTATGTGACGTCATAGTAAAAATGTGTACACCCCGCCCCCTTACTGTCGCCTTAACTGTGCGTTTTATATATTTATTAAATTAACTTCCGGTCGCATGCTTTACTGTTCTAAAAATGAGAAAATATCTGAAATATATCTCTGAAATGATAAGACATTAAAACACCAAAATTTAATTTTTTTTTAGATGTTCAGGGTTAGACAAAAGGTTAAGTTTAAACGCATTAGCCGTCACTTCCGGTTATCACAAGAGTTATTTAGACCATATCGATGCGTCTTCTAACAAAGTCCAAACGGTGATTCAAACACTAATGAAACACGACCACTATCAAAAGAATAATTCCAATAGTGGTTGAAATTACATTTAAATAACAATCATAGGTTGCAACTAGTATATAAATTATGTTCTCTTTTGAAATAAAGGTTATGATTTCGGAAGATGTTCTGATTGTTTTTTTAAACGTAAAAAAAACAAGTTTCAACCACCATTGAAATAATGATAACTATTAAAATAAAATTTTCAATAGTGACTGAAATAGTGATTTAAACAATTGTTTTGATAGTTGTTGATAATTAGCCGAATACGAAAACCACAATGCAAGGAATAACTATCAAAAATACAAGGATTAATCGCTCATTATGTTTTCCAACATATTTAATTTTTTTATTGAGTTTACTATTAAATGTAAGACTACTTGTGTATTATTTTTTTAAAGAAGTTGAAAATACGCCACATTTTAATCACTATTGAAATAACATAAACATAACCACTGTAATAAACCCAATTATAATTTGCCTAGAAAGAGACATTCATAGCTGTCTTACTAACGACACGACCGACTCAAGTATTTAAAAGAAAATCACTTCTTTCTATTTATAGATACATGTACATGGTTTTTCAATTCAAAAGCAAAATAGTACGTACATGTATTTAATATTTTTTTTATGTGGACCGGTGTTATATTTTCAAAGTTCCGTGACATGTTACTTGACAATCATTTTACTTTTTCAATACTCTTATTCTAAACAAAAGATTTACAACATATATAAAAAAAACCAGAAGTCTCTGTCGAGACTGAAGCTCTACTGGTTTGAACTTATAGCAAAGGAAGAGAAAAGTACTTAAGCAGCTGGAATTTGAAACTTTACAACAGCAATAAATAGAATAATGACCGTTGATAAAGTCTCTTTATGTTCTAAGTGTAGTCTACTTGTGTGCCAAGTTATATTGAAATCAGACCAAAACTGTAGGAGGAGTAGCATTTTGAAACAATTTTACAGATATTTCTATTTTTAGTAACCACGGCAACACCGTTCATCGAAATCAAAATCGATACACAGATTTATGTATCTTAGTGTAGTCTACTTGTGTGCAAAGTAATACTGAAATCAGACCAAAACTGTAGGAGGAGTAGCATTTTGAACAAATTTCACAGAAATTTCTATTTTTAGTAACCACGGCAACACCTTTCGTCGAAATCAAAAACCGATACACAGAATTATGTATCTTAGTGTATTCTACTTGTGTGCCAAGTTATACTGAAATCGGACCAAAACTGTAGGAGGAGTAGCATTTTGACAGGATTTCACAGCAATTTCTACTTTTAGTAACCACAGCAACATCAATCTTTGAAATTGAAAACCGATACAGAATTATGCATCTTAGTGTAGTCTACTTGTGTGCCAAGTTATATTGAAATTAGACCAAAACTGTAGGAGGAGTAGCATTTTGAAAAATTGTTTACAGACAGACGGACAGACGGACAGACAGACAGACAGACAGACGGACAGACGGACGGACGCCGGACGCATTACTATCGCATAAGCTCTTCTGGTCTCTGACCAGTAGAGCTAAAAACCAAACAGCAAAATATAACTTTTTGCCAATAGAATAATTTAGGAATTAAGGACTGTTTTTCCGGAGATACTTTCAAGGTTTAATGTTGCATTATTAATCTCTTACATTATTTATTTCATAAAGCATAATTTGAAAAAAAAAAAAGAAAAAAAAAAAGAAAAGTTGCATAGAAAAAACATGAATAGAAAAAATGTGAGACTCAAACTCACAATCATTATACCATGGTATATATAATCCTTTACTAATACCACTACGCCACGAAGTGATTGTAATCAAATGGATAAATTTAATACGGTTTGCTGAATCTTCAAATAATATGAGAAGGAAAATCATATACATAATTCCAACAATTTTAATATATAAAGACCGACTTTAACCAAACTTATCTAAATGTAATGAAATGTAGTCATATCCAAATAAAATCAATCAGAAGTTGTTTTCCTGGTTAATGTAAACTGATCAATTTTTATATCTATCACATGAGGGAATTATTAATATTTAAATATAGTTTTTGTATGATTTAGTTTAAGGAAGGTATAAACTAAAAGTGTATGAAAAAGTACAGGTTAAACAATGCATTGAAGAATTCAGTACTACAGTAGGCGAAAATGACTATAAAATGCGTTATGGCTCTTTAGCTTTTAATGAATTGATGAGTAGACGTTAGGTTAACTATCCAGGGGCCCGTTTCACTAAAAGGCGTACGCCCGGCGTAACCTTACGCCTGTCGTAAGTCCGGACTTAAGTCAAATATTTGGACTGAGGTCCGTTTCACTAAAAGGCGAAACTTTGCACCCGCCTAAAGTTAAGACAAAAATCTACGCCTAGCCAAGGGTAGTCGTAACTTATGGCGTAAACAGGAATGGACTGCTAATTCTGTTGCCTAGGGTATCAGGGCTGACCGTAATGTTAAATTGTACAATTTGTCATGTAAATTTTATTATTTTCATATGAAATTAAGAAAACAGAGAGTTTTGATAGGTGGTACCAATTCTCCAATAGAAACTTTCTTACCATGCATATATGTATTTAGATACTCGATATATAGTTTTCATTCGATTATTTTTATCCAATTGTTTGATTTACGTTTCATATTTTAATAAATTGGGCAATGAATAATGCAGAATATATACATACATGATGCACATGTAATACAAAGGTATATTTGCATAAGAAATGTCTAGCATGTCAAGCATTTCA